AATGATATCGGCCAGTGCCTTCAGTACCCTCGGATGGAGCTCATCCGGGCCTGCCGACTTAAAGGCATCCGGTTCCTCCAAGTGACTCTGCACCATCTCAGGGTCTACGCATGGTAGTCTGGCGGCTTGCTGCTGCCTCTCTACAACCCCAGTGAGAGACTTGGCTTTAGGTTGGACAGGACTGCACTGAGGGTTCTTTGGGATATTCTGCTGGTAGCATTGACAGGAAGGGTGGGGTGGTCGAAGGAGTATTTTGCCCCATAATCCCATCCTAATCTGATCTTCATTTAGGGTTCTGTACTTGATGCAGGATATTATTTTACATATTAATTAGTATATATATATATAGCTAATTAAATTCTATCTTTAGAATGTGTGATTCATTATTAAGAAGCTTTTATTGGGTATTGATTAGCTTTAAAAAAGGAACTGGGAACCGGAAACAAGGAATCAGGAATAAGGAACTGGGAATAAAGAACCAACTTCAGCCTCATGGCACAGAGACACTGTGGCCAGATGCTAGAGTGCATCTTTGGAAGACCCAGCCTCTGGTTGCCTCCTGGTGTGTGCCTTGTGTCACTTTTTCCTGTGTGCGTGTGTTTGAGGGTTTTTTAAACCAGGATTTCCTGCCATCAAATTTACTCTGCGCTGCAAATATGCAGCACGGGAACATTTTTTCATTCCTAGCATGCTTCCTGTGGCATCTCAAATTGCTTTGAGACACCACAACGGGCACATGCTCATTTGTCTGGACCTGGCCAGAGGTGTTAAGTATGTTGCCTAGCCTGCTGGCTTCTGCAGGCAGACTTTGCTCCCTGAGGAGCAAATAAATACACAAAACAGTCTTTAAGTAACAAACAAAACCCTTCCAGCCACCAGGAGGGGACTCCTTTGGTTCTGGCTCAGCACAGTTGTCTGGCCCCTGCATATAACAAGTGATTCAGTTCACAGTTTATTTTCTTTCTCCTTGCCAACTGTTCCTTCAGTTTGCCTTCTTCCAGTTCTCTCCTTTGGGATTTTAGAATCCCAGTGGGATACTCTTCGTGACCAGAAGGCTCTACAGCTGAATGCCCTTAACAGTACTGGCTGCCCCTTCTTAAGGGAACAGACCACCCTGTTTAAGGGCATTTTACTGGTGAGAATGCAAGTACTTCAAGAATTCAGGTGCTTCCAGAGCTAAGTGGGAGCTTGGGTATCCAGATTTTGCACCAAGGTATCTAAAGTGGGTAGATAAGGCTTCCTTGTGAGCATAGCCCTGTTAAAATGGAATGACAGTTGTGTGTATATTAGTAAGCCACACGTCCGGGGCGGCGGCCTCAGCAGGCTCCGGCCCGGCCCCCAGCCGCCTGGCACCGCCTCC